ACGGAACGAGCATTTTAGTGCATAGAATGAAGTGCTATTTCTAGTCCATGAAATAAGGAAAATGTATATTCCAAGAATATACATTTTTTGATTAGATTATCACGAGGCCTAGCAGACTGAAAACAAGAAAATCTAAGACCGTGTAACAGCATTGAAACATAAAAAGCAGATGGATCGGGCCTGATGAGCCTGGGTAACCGCGTCATAAGTGTAAGGATGTGAACATCATCATGGGGGACAATCATACATAGAGAAGCACCCAGCTCCGTAAATACATGCGGCAAAACAAGGCAAAATGAGAGGGATTGCTAGAGAAATCCATCAGAGCTACTTATTGAGGGGGTTTAAATAAAGCACTCATGCTAGTACACACACACACACACACACACACACACACACACACACACACACTAAAAATCCAGCACAGATGTGCTTCAGCCTAGGCAAGAATCCTCAAAATTAAAAAAATAATAATAATACTGACTACATAAGGAAGTTTCAGACTCAATCTGAGTGAGCGCCCCTGAGTTCCTATGAGAGAAGAAAGGTAGAGAAACCCATGCTGCTGAGAAGAGAGACACACTAGTGCTCTCTGCGGTCAAGACAAACCTCTTAGTTGGCCATGAGGAGCAACATGTCTAGCAGGTTGGTGGAACAGACTGACCATATACAAGAACTCATCGGGGCCCTTCCATTCAAGGGGATATCTATGAAAGAAGAATCTGGAACAAAGTGCAGGGTAACTCCAAGTCACCTGTCTCCATTAACCTAGTTCATGCATGAACACAAACCAAGCACCGAGTGCCGTCATTCATTTTAGTGAAAAAGACCTCAGAAAATAAAGCAAGGGAATGAATAAACCAAAAGTCAGGTCCTGGAAGAAACAGAGATAATTGTGATGTCTGAAAAGGAGACTTCTGAACAATGTTACAGTCTCTGTGAGATTAGTGACTGTAAAGTACACATAGAAACTCAGCATGCCCTGCCAAAATAACAGAAGACAAGAAAATTGTACGGGAATTATGCTTTTCACTTGACTAACTTAGTAGGGTGATTGTTGATAAAGATTATTTTTTTTAATTGTGACCCAATAGTAAATATGGAACCAACTGTTTTAAAAAAAAAAAAAAAGAGGAGGTGTATGAGAAAGCTGCAGACTGCGGAGCATAGGTTCCGGATGGGCGTAGTGTCTAACAGGAGCTCTAGATGCAGAGAATAGAAGGCAGGGCTGTGTCGAAGTCAGGACAAGAGCAACGGGTCAAAGTAACCCGCAGCTGAAGGAATGTGCATGTGTATGTGAGCTCTTTCTCTCTCTCTCTCTCTCTCTCTCTCTCTCTCTCTCTCTCTC